GAAGGAAGGAAGGAAGGAAGGAAGGAAGGAAGGAAGGAAGGAAGGAAAAAAACTCACAAATTAAAATAAAAAATCCAGAATCCCAGAGAATTTTCTAAACACAAAAGTAATGAAAGTAACATCTGTGTTGACTTCTTCGTCTTCCTAGAAGCCAAGGGTGACACTGAATCCTTTTCTCGCTGTTTCTTTCATGCATAAGTGAGGACTTCTGCAGGTGAACATTCTCCATACCAGCCTCCGTGTTCATTTGGCACCACCAATGTTCCAATGGCAAGTGGGCCAAAAAGGGAAGACACGGGAGGGAAGTATGTACGAGAGGGTGTTTGTGTATGTATGAATGTGTGCGCACATGTGCCTTCAAGTTAACCTTGGCCCCTGGCATCTACCTGGGCAAATCCCTGAAGTTTTCTTGGCAACATTTTTGAAAGTGGCTTGCCATGATCTTCTTCTGGGGCTGAGAGAGAGTGACTGGTCCAAAGTAACCCAATTAACTCACGGTCAACTCTGAAGCTGACCTGGGTAAAGCAGAGGTGGTGGTATACAGCTAGTTCTGACCGGTTCCGGAGAACCGGTAGCGGAAATTTTGAGTAGTTCGGAGAACTGGCAAATACCACCTCTGACTGGCCCCGCCCCCATCTATTCTCTGCCTCCCGAGTCCCAGCTGATTGGCTAGGTCGTCTATCCTTTCCCTGCAGGCCCACCAAGCCACACCCACCAAGCTACACCATGCCCACCAAGCCATACCCACAGAACTGGTGGTAAAATATTTTGAATCATTGATAGGATTCAAATATTTTTACTACTGGTTCTGTGGGAGTAACTTGGTGGGCGTGGTTTGGCGAGCGTGGCAGGGGAAGGATACTGCAAAATCTCAAATTCCACCCTACTCCAGGGGAAGGATATCCCCATTCCCTCCCCACCCCACTAACCTGCTTTCCAGCTCCGCTCTCTTGTGCAGGGCAACAAAAGAAGACCCAGCCAATCAGCTGGGACTCGGGAGGCAGAGAATAGATGGCGTGGGGCCAGTCAGAAGTGGGATTTGCCGGTCCTCCGAACTACTCAAAATGTCCGCTACTGGTTCTCTAGAACTGGTCAGAACCTGCTGAATACCCACCTCTGTTTTGAATTCCACCACTGCTCCAGACCATTTAGAGTTACTGATTTCTTCTCTTGCTGCCATCTTGCCAGTATGAGCTCAAGAGAGCTCGTCTTCACACCTCTCTCTTCCTCCCTCTCCAATAATGAGCTCCACGGAGTAAACATATAGCTCTTTCAAATACTTTGAAGGAGATGTTTAGACAACAGGGACGGGATGGTGGTGTTGGAAACAGACAGGGATTCCTTTTTTCTTTGGGTTTTCATAGGACTAAATCCTATCAAACGGTCCCCTGAATGTATTAAACAGATGCAAACAGACTAAAGTAGGGCTCATCTGCAAGAAGAAACGTTTTTCAAGGGTCTGGGGGGAAAAATCATCAAAACACAGCTTCAGGACTGCTTGGCTAGGCTGAGCTGAATAAGGAGAGGGGATTGACCGGTATGGAGGGCTATGCTGGGCAGTCCAGACTCAGTATGCTACAGAAAAATAAAACAAAAACAAAAGGCTCTTTAAATATTATATCTAACATCTAGTCTCCAGTGTGAAGGAATGTTTTTATATAGCACATTCAGCCACCCTTTTTTAAACAATGCACATAGCCAAAGCTGTGAGGCCAGCTGCCTCTCATCTACCCTACTGGGTGAAGCAACCATTTGCAAACAGATTCAGCTGTTTGTTATTCTTGTTTTCTGTCCAGAGCTGGAAGTTGGCACTGAACAAGCCTTTTCTTGCCCCTGTAGCTGTAGCTGTTCCTCATCATCAGTTGATGCCACTTTTAAGCAAGTGGCATAGAAAATTGCACAATACATAAAACAAATGTATTTCCCCGCATTCTCATTATTTCTATCCACTCTTTGCTTACCACCAGGACTGCTTGCAGGGAGAGGGATCAAAAAAATTTCAAGGTTCCCTCCCACTGCTGATTCGCCATGTCATGCTGGCTGGCCATAGAGTGGTGCAGTGGCCTGGAGCTCTCACCTCACCATCAGGAGGCTGTGAGTTCGATCCTGGGCAGAGGTAAAGGTTCCCCTCGTACATACATGCTAGTCGTTCCTGGCTCTAGGGGGCGGTGCTCATCTCCATTACAAAGCCAAAGAGCCAGTGCTGTCTGAAGACGTCTCTGTGGTCATGTGGCCGGCATGACTAAATGCCGAAGGTGCAGCATGGAATGCTGTTCCCTTCCCACCAAAGTGGTCCCTATTTTTCTACTTGCATTTTTTACATGCTGTCGAACTGCTAGGGACAAATAACGGGTGCTCCTTCCGTGACACAGCGCTAGGGATTCGAACCGCCGAACTGCCGGCCTTTCTGATTAACAAGCTCAGTGTCTTAGCCACTGAGCCATTTTAGAGAGTATTTCTTTCTCTGGGCACAATGAGAATGTATCTGCTGAACAAAACTCCACATTGGTGATAGGAAGGGCATCCGGTCAGTAAACATCCAGCTCCATTCAGTTGCTCAGACTCCACCCCACAAGGGATGGAGTCATTAAAAGAAGAAGATGATGATGATGATGATGGCAGGTCATAAGACTTTCTGACCTTTAGGATTGTATTTGCTAAGAATTGGGAAAACGATAAAATACCTATGCTGGAGGAAATTATTAAGAAAAGTATGGACTGTGCTGAAATGAGTAAATTGACATTTGAAATTAGAGAACAAGAAGATAAACAATTTTATACGATATGGGATTTGTTTTTATCAATGGTTGGACAAAAAGACATGGTAATGTAATAGATTAGATAATTTTGTGACAGAAATTTAATAGATTGATATAAAACATAATATAGACATATATAACCCTTGGTTGAAAGTATAACATAAATTTTAAGATAAAATTTGGAATATCTCGTATAAAATGATGGAATAAATAGTTTAGTCATGGATGATTAATAACTGATAAATATATAAACATACGTTAGTTTGACAATGTGAAAATTGATATAAACTGTAATGACTACAAAAGGATAGCACAAGAAAATTGTAACCAACTGACACACTGTATGTATACAAAATGGAAGATGGTTTTGTGTTTTGTATGTGTATGTTTGTCTTAAAAAAATAAAAATTCTTTTTTTAAAAAAAAAACACTTTCTGACCTTTTAAAAAGACGATTTAAAATGAACAACAACAAAAAAATCCCTCTTCGCTAAAAAAAATGACATTTTAATCTTTATTTTTGTTGGGGACTGAATCATGCCTTTGCACTTATTTGGACTGACAGGGTTAATGATGAGAGACAGCTCAAGGGCAGGAGCTTCATGTGACTATTTCTCACCTGGCTTATTGTTGGTGAAAGGAACCTCTGGATTTAACAACACAGGAAATGTCCTTGTTTGGCTTCCCTCCCATAGTTTAGACAGCAGTGAGTTTTCGCTGTCTTCAGGCATCTCTTCATAAACCTAGCTTGGACTCTGAATACAATGGACATCTGACACGATTGAATGGTAAGTAAGCTACCTGTATCCAGATCGGTTATTATTGTAAGCATCTTGTTTTTAATTTTAATGGGAAGTTCTGCAACTTCATTAATCATTAATCTTTTAGCCCCCAGCTTTTACACAGGACCATATTTTCTAACAAGGGCTCTTCATGAATTTGAATGTCCACCATCTTAATCCCAGCCATTAAAGACACCGACAATATGAGTGACTATCCGAAGGATGAGAGGCAAATTGGCAGAACTTCATAAGCCCATGAACCCCACAGCAGGAAATGAAGAAAAATGTGTGATCTGTAGAAAAATCAGGTGTTTTGGGACCTGAATCAGAACTGTGCCTATATTAACAAACTGCTTGGAAATAGCTGCCTTCCTTTGTTTGTCAGGATGAGACCAGAGTATCTAGCCCAATGTTTTGCACGTAAGCAATCAATCATCATTTGTCTGAAGAAACTTAAAAACAAAGCACAAAATCAGTGTATCTTTCCTAGAATACATGTCTCCAGCACAGGAAAAAAAACAAAAACCCTTTCCTTCCTCCTTCACTAAGTCAATCTGTGGTCCTTTAAAAGATAAGATAGCATTGATGGAGAAAACATCCCCCAGACAGCTGTTATTAGCTAAGCTCTGCTCCTGCAATAGGCAGAAGGCTCCATTCGATGCTTTCCTGATGGGACAAATTGCCCAACTTTGGGGAAATGTGCAAAAGGAGTCAGCTAGTTTTCTCAGACAGGTCATTTCCACACCTGAATATTTTTATGTCTGTGTGGGAGTTGTGCTCAGGTTACACGAGATGCATTTAATGTGACCTTGTGTTTATGCAAAGAAGCAAAAGCTGCCAGACAGATTCTCCTCCTACACAAAACACGGTGCGCAGCTGCTAGAGCAGTGGTCGCCAACCAGTGGGCCGGGGACCACTAGTGATCCGTGAGAAAATTTTGGTGGTCCGCAGAGAAATGTCACCCCCAAAGCAATTAATCCAGGCTGCACGGGAACACAAGGGTATGCCACTCACATGGCCCGCGGGAACACAAGGCTTGCATCGTTTGCATTGCGAACAAAGCGAAGTAGTGAGGGGAGGGGGAAAGGGCGGAGGGGGGGACTTGCCCCACTCGCCCCACGCACATCGCCTGGCCACTGGGCTGCTTCTTTCCGCTTCTTTCTTCTTCTGCTTTTGGCTGAACGCAAGGAAAGCAGCAAAAGTCTTCCTTTCTCTCCCCCAAACTCCACCAGAAATGAGTCTTTGGGACCCTGCAAGGCCTCCTGCTCCAAGAGGCTGCGCCGACGTGACAAGTCACACAAAGACTCATTTCTGGCGGAGTTTGGGGGAGAGAAAGAAAGACTTCTGTTGCTTCTGCTGCTTTCCTTGCATGAAGCCAAAAGTCTCTCTCTCCCTCCCTCCCTGAGAACGGAGCTGGAGACGGTATCCTGCGATCCCAAATAAAGAACGATCAATTGGTAGGAAAACGGGGTGGGGAATTTTCCTGCAGACTTTTTTGGGGGATTTTCAGAGTCTCTGGTCTGTGGGATTTAAAATTATGAGTTTGGTGGTCCCTGAGGTCCAAAAGTTTGGCGACCCCTGTGCTAGAGTATGCACAAAATTGGTGCCCCTTATATGCAAAAATCAAGGAACAGAACAGTGACACAGTCTGTATATAGTCACAAGATGGAAAAGAGAAGAGACCTTTTTATTCTTTTCATTCTGACTAGAATGCAGATGAGATTTTTTTAAAAAAAGATCAATATAGCAGCCTTATCTCTTCCTTCCCAAAATCTGAGCAGGCAGATTCCCTTTTCTTTCTTTCTTTCTACACAACCAATCTTATCTCTTGCAATGAAAGAAAGAAAGAAAGAATGAATGAATGAATGAATGAATGAATGAATGAATGAATGAATTCATTCATTCATTCATTCATTCATTCATTCATTCATTCATTCATTCATATAAAAATAATGTGGTGATCAGTTTTATAATGTGGTGACCAGTTTTGGTCCCCACACTATAAAAAAGATGTTAAGACTCTAGAAAAAGTATAGAGAACAACCAGGATGACTAAAACATATGAAGAACAGTTACAGGAACTGTGCATGGCTAGTCTAGTGAAGAGAAGGACCAGGGGAGACATGATAGTAGTCTTCCAATATTTGAGGGGCTGCCACAGAGAGGAGGAAGGGGTCAAGCTGTTTTCCAAAGCACCCAAAGGCCAGACAAGCCTAATGGATAGAAGGTGATCAAGGAGAGATTTAACCTGGAAATAAGGGGAAATTTTCTGAGAACAGTGAGAACAATCAACCAATGGAACAGAAGTTGCCCTCAGAAGTTGTGGGAGCGCCATCACTTGAGACTTTCAAGAAGAGATTGGACTGCCATTTGTCAGAAATTGTGTAGGGTCTCCCGCTTGGGTGGGTGGGGGGTTGGACTAGATGACCTACAAGGTCCCTTCCAACTCTGATTATCTGTTATCTGTTATCTGAATGTATGAATTTTAGAACCTCCCGAGGACCATCGAAAGAGATTATTATTTTAAACTGACAAGCTTGCCTACTTATGAATGCCTCAAGGTCTATTTGGGTATATAAAAACTCTTCGGAGCAATAGAAGGGAACCTTATTTCGGCTTCCGGACTGATAGGCACTCGATCAGCTGAGTGAGCCACAGAGAGCAGGTTACCTCACGTCGGGTTTAACTTCCTGGCAGAGCCCCGAGTGCAACTTACCTGCCACAGTGAACGACAACAGCCACCAAGTCATACATGCGATCCAAGTTGATGGCCTCTCCCGATGTGTTGAAGAGTCGCAGCTCCAGGGGGAAGACCACTCGGTAAGAGAGCTTGGTGTACCGGTGTAGCTGCTCCATATACTTGAACCGCTTCAGATGCAAGGCAAGGATCATTGGAAGCTTCTTCACTCTCATCCTGCAAAGCCAAAGGACCCAGAGTGTTGGGGGAAATATGCTGACTGTCAACTCATAAAATACGCGTCTATGGCCTTTTTAGAGTTGCATTGCGTTTGCATTGCGAACAAATGGGCAACTTGCATTCCATAAATGTTTTCAAAGATAGTTTCTAGGTGACCGAGGTTTCTGCCGTGCAAAATTCTAACTGGAGAGCGTGATTGATGACTCTGGGCTATGGAGGTGTCCCATTGGAGGATAGGAATTACGATACACCCAGGGGGTGGAGGGAAAACCAGGGTCAAGGGTGACAATGAATGATGGGCCTCAGAGTCGGCTACACCCAGGCAGTGCCGGCATGTTTTACTCCTAATAAATCTTCTTTTAAGTTTTGAAAATCCGGCTAGAGACTCATGATTTAAATGGGGATAACTACCAGAGCCCTGACACTGACTATATAAACGGCTTAAAGAGTGCTGTAAAGCACTGTGAAGCTGTATATAAGTCTAAGTGCTATTGCGATTATCTGAAATGTTATTCCAACACAGGTTGAAGATCAGTTTGCTTTAATGGCTGCTTGAAAAAAATCTATCCAAGAAGGCAACTTAAGCTGCCCAGTGATGAGACAACCCTTTTTACATACCGTTTCTGAGCCTCCTGTTTGCTGCAACAGGTCTCACAGTAGTATTTCTGTTCGCTACACAACGTTTCAGTGTTGCTGAAGTCTCTGAAAAGTAATAGGGGTACCGATGTTTAGATGTCTTTGAATAGCCCAGACATGGCGGTGAATTGTTTATTATGCCTGGCTTCATGCCTGCTGTTGAGTAGGGAAATTATCTTGAGGCACTCATATCGATGCATGCATAAACAGCAAACCTAGGATGCTGTTACACAAATGTCGGTGCACTTCTTCTTCCCTGCAATTACTATACATGCTCACTTATTTGATAAACAAATATGGCCACCCAAATCAGCACGGTCAGCAAGGCATCAAACAAAAATATGGACATAAAAACAGTAAAAAGCAATAAAATATCCCAGCTAAGAATCATTAGCATTTCCTCAAGACTGTCAAAACTGTAAAAACACTAGAAACGACACAGAAAAAACGATGGGGCAACATTACAAAAGCATGAATGGAGTCCAGGGAAGCGGGGGAAAAGGTTAGAAAGAAAGTTAAATAATCTCCACTGCATCTTCCTGGTATATCGGTGCGACATGAAGACACCGTCTGTTACTATCACCCCTAGTTTCCCAACAGTCTTTATAAGAGCTAGGCTTATCACATTTTCCAAAAAGGCAATGTTAACTGGTAAACGGTAAGGTTTGAGCATGTTCTGACCCAAACCCTTTTCCAATAAAACAAACACGAATCAAATGGAACAGAAAGCTTTTAATGATTCTTACGAATCCCCGGTTAAAAGGCTGCTGCAAACTATTTAACTTTGATAAACAGAAGCCTCACCAAAACTGTGCGAGACTGCCAAGAATAACAGATTAAGAAATATTTCACAACACAAGAGTCTTCAAATACCAACTTAAGATACTGTAATGTTCACAAGGCTGAGTTTCAAAATGTCTTTGCTTCCTGCAAAAAAGGTCCGATTCACAGCTGGCTTTTATCTTCTTGAAGGAGGGGCCATTACCTTGCAGCCTTACTCCCGAGTTGCCCATGCTGCTGCAACTGCTCTTTCCTGCGAGCACATGCGCAATTGGCACAGGCTCTTCGGGAACCTCCTCATCGCTGCTGCCAGGCCCCATAATCTCTGAAGGCAGCAGTCCTCTCCCTGATGGTCTTGTCCCCTCATCTGAGTCCTCGCTCTCCTCGGCTGTCCGCACCTGCTGCCGGCTAACCACCAACAGGGCAGGACAAAGAGCAATGCTTTGTATTATTAAATAAAAGGCTTGTGGCCTGACAAATAATAGATGACTTTCACGGTTGGGTTTCTTTCTTGTGTGTCTTATTCTCAATCTCAATTTGATTCTGACTAATCCTATTACAACCAATGGGACTTCTCTGAAGCAAATAACAGAGGCATTCAAAAACATCCATCTTTTGTCAAATATTCTGCTACACCAGGTATTCTGACTTCCTGCCTGCCAAGAAAAGTTTCAATGACACTTCTTTATTTGATTTTTGCTCCATCGTTCTGAAACACCTATATAACTTTTTTTTCTTTCCACTACCCACTAATCTTTAACAACCATAAAGCAAAAACAATGCCGGCCATTGTGAAAACGCATTTACCTTAAACAGTGAGTTATGGATGTGTTCTGTTCTACATCAACAGAGAGATCAAGAAAATCTTCATCTTTGCTGCTAACCTGCCACAAAAACAAGATTTAATAGCATTTTAAAGCCTTGCAACATATTAATTTAGCCGAGAAGAGTGATTCTTATCCTGTCAATACACCAGAAAGGCCTCACTGGATCTTAGAGAAACACTGAGGCAGCCAACTTCCCCAATCCAAATTATTACCAAATGAATTTCTACAACCACAGATTTGCATTTAGAATAGAAGAACAGAGCTGTTAAGGGACCTTGGAGGTCTTCAAGTCCAACCCCCCAACCCCTCCCCCCCTCCGCTCAGGCATTTGTGGTCCATTGCAGGGGTAACATCTAATCATGGTTCAGTTTTTGTAACTATGATTGTGTATTCGACATAACCCCAAGGCAGGATTTTATTTTATATTTTTTATCGTTAGTTGTGAAAACTGTCTGGGTAACTTTTGGGTCAATCGTTCTCTCTCAGCCCAATCTATCTCCCAGCACTGTTAACCCAAATCTCACCAGGCTCAAGATTGACTCAGCCTTCCATCCTTCCAAGGTGAGTAAAATGAGGATCCAGATTGTTGTGGGCAATATACTGACTCTGTAAACCGCTTAGAGTGGGCTGTGAAGCACCGTGAAGTGGTATAGAGGTCTAAGGGCGATTGCTATTAAAATTATGCCCCCGTGCTCTTTGCATATATAAAGAAACTGGACTGAGAGATCAGCAGTCCTTTTAAAAAATAATGTTCTGTCTGAATATTCATCAACTGGCAGAGGCATGCTAACAAGGTCAGCCAATGAATAGGCACAGCAACTAAGTCAGCCAACGAGGGCTGTTTGGAAACTGAAAGGAGCCTAGGCATGGCTCTATATTAAGCTCTGAGCTATGAAGCTGAAAGTCTGATTTGCAACTATGAATGAAAACTGAAACTGCTCCAGGGCTCGGATTCTACCGGTTCGGACTGGTTTGGGCGAACCGGATGTTAAAGTTACATCTGGTTCGCCGAACCGCTACTTCAACCGACTGGCTGGCCCCTCCCCTCCCCTCCCCGGAGTCTCCTTTTCGGCCATTTTTCAAGTCACCCATTTTCAATGGAGGTAAGTGCAGGGTCTGCGTGGAGGCTCTGGAAGGGGGAAAAAACGGACCTTCCGGAAGTTCGGAAACAGGCCTGTTTCCGGTGGGCCTCCAGAGCCCAGGGAGAGGCTGTTTTTGCCCTTCCAGAGGCCGGGGGGAGGCCTCCAGACCCTTGGGAGCACAAAAACAGCTTCCCCTGGGCTCTGGAGGCCTACCGGAAGCCAGAAATAGGAAGTTCCGGTAGGCCACACCCACCATGGCCACGCCCACCTAGCAACCGGGCAGTGAACCGGTTGCTGGGATTTTTGAATCCCATCACCAACTGTTCTCTGCTGTTCTCTCCTCTGCCTGTGTTTTGCCTGTAACTTTCTACTACCACGTTGGAAGAACTTACATTGGTATTGTACATTTACTTAAAATTTTATTATGTATATAAAGAAGTTGATGAATCCTCCTGAATCAGTCATCTGCGTGTGCTTTCTGGATTTGAATTTCTGCTGCAAACTCTAACACATTCACAATAAATGGGGACAGATAAATGGCCCCAAACACAGACATAATAAATAAATCTCTTTGCCAACTACTAGGACCATTCTCATTTCAGTGACTTTAATAAATGTACAATTTCTTTGACCATGCAAGGATTATCCAGCTGTTTACAGGTAATTCTTGTTTTAACCCTGCCAATGCTTACAGTTTCACAGTTCAAACATCTCGTTTCATTGGTCAAGGTTCCTTGAAAAATCTCGTGCACCCACGTGAGCTCCTGCTTATGGTTCTCTTCTGCTTCGTTCATGTTTCCATTTTTCAATTTGCCATTTTGTTTTTCCTGCTTTTTCTCCTCTTGTAGAATGTCAGCAACGGTGTTTAGCAAGTAATTCAAAAATTCGTGAGCATCCTGCTGCATGTAGTTGTCAAAAAGATCTATTAAAAAAAAGAGGAAAGGATATATCTTTATTTATGTAAAAGATGGCTAGAGCCACCCATTTTGTAGTACGCACAATTTCTGGGCTGCTAACAACAACAGGGATAAAGACACGAGTAAAAACCAATACAGAAAGAAAAGAATGAAAGGAATTTTTAAAAAAATCAAATTTAAGAAAAACCAGATGCCCAAAACTATACCCATTTATCTCTCCAGTCCCCAGACTTTAATTTACAATCCTAAGGCCAGTTCCTATGCCTGTGGCTGGCACTGGCAGTCAGGACAGTTAGCAAAACTGAGGATTCTAACAGCTGCCGCTTCATGGATTCTGTACAGGATTCCTTGAGGTGTCATGATCATTCCAGGTAGTGACTTGAGTGAGGCAACTCCTGAGTGAAGGACATTTTTCATACAAGGAGAAAGAAATGCAGGTGGACTTAAGACATTTTTTCTTCTGGTACAAAAATATGTCCTGCACCCAGGAATTATGTTCTGACCAAGGCTTTCTGAGACTGTGATTAAGCACATGCTTAATTCCAAACAACTCTTGTTTTATTTCAATGCTGGGAATTATGTTCATTCCCAGCCTGTAATGAGTCCCAAACAGTTCCTTGAGATAAGCACCCACCTTTCTCTCCTCTGAATTGCTGCCAATAACTAAAGGGCCAAATTAACTGTAAAAAAACCCAACTGAAGTACAAAGTCCACACAGAGCTTCAAGGATTAATCCAAACAGAGTGAACGACTTTGCTTCCTGCAAAGGTTTCTCTACCTTTGCACCTCCTTTATACCTTACGGGAGGGGCAATCACCACCCAGCCTTACTCCCGAGTCACCCCTTTTGTCTTAGCTGCTCTTGCCTTCTGGCAGCTCTGCGCATACGTGCACTGGGAACAGGCTCCCCTTGTTCCTCTGCCTTGCTGCTGCCGGACTCTGAGGCTCTGGAGTCAGCACCCCACTCCCAGATGGTCCTGGCCCCATCTCTGTATCAGACACAGGACCCTCTTCCGAGTCCTCCCCAGACTCTCGGACTGGCCTATGTTCTTCCCCGCTGTCAGATTCTGCTGCCGTCTGCATCGGCTACCGACGAACCACAAGAAGTTATGTGTGACCTTATGCAGGCCAAACACGGATTTGTTTCTGCTAAGATTTGTCCCAACAGGGATCCATACAGAGAAGATCTAGCATAATTTGTGGTTTAGTTCGTTTTTTAAATCCTAACTATATGTTAGGCTTTATATAACTATATATGAGGCTTTTGAACTGAGGCCTTTGAACTATGGTGCTGGAGGAGACTCCTGCGAGTCCCTTGGACTGCAAGGCAATCAAACCAGTCAGTCTTAGAGGAGATCAACCCTGACTGCTCTTTAGAAGGCCAGATCCTGAAGATGAAACTCAAAAGACTTTGGCCACCTCATGAGAAGGAAGGACTCACCGGAGGAGAGCCTAATTCTGGGAACGATTGAGAGCAAATGAAGAAAAAGGGGACGACAGAGAAAGAGGTGGTTGGATGGAGTCACTGAGAGCAGTCCGCGTGAACTTAAATGGACTCCGGGGGATGGTAGAAGACAGGAAGGCCTGGAGGAACGTCGTCCATAGGGTTGCAATGGGTCGGACACGACTTTGCGACTAACAACAATCACCTATATGTTACATAGCAAAGATGTTATACCGCTGGGATCTAGCATGCCACCCAATGAGAGACAGGGCAAAATTCTCCCTCTGTTAACTCTCCTCAAAGGGCATTGGGGAAGAGAGGCCCGGGGCCCCCAAAATAGGAAAGCACAAACTGCAGCTCTCTGAAGCAGCAGTCATTCCCTGCCCTTGAATTTCTCATCCCCCTAGACTGGTGCACACATTTTAAACCCATCAAAGTAGGCCGAAGCTATATACAAAGTCAGTGGAGAAGTATTAGTAGCACACCTGGGCTCTAGGCTGCTATGGGTGAGCCAGTTTGGTGTGGTGGTTAAGGGATCAGGTTAGGAACCAGGAGACCGTGAGCTCTAGATCCACTTTAGGCACAAAGCCTGCTGGGTGTCCTTAGGTCAGTCACACTCAAGCCTCAGACAGTTGTCAGGCTTTAAAAAACTGGCTTGTAGAACACAACAACTGGGCTGTAAAAGCACAGACAACAACTATATGGCCGAAAAGAGAAAACACTGTGGCTTCCACTAGTAACCATCCAGATTTTTGCATCTCAAGATATGGTATATGTAAAGAGTGGTGTGGTGACCTAGAGGTGGAGCTCTTGCCTCACAATCAGGAGGCTGTGAGTTCGATCCTAGGTAGAGACTGATATTTCTCTCTCTGGGCATGTTGAGAATATATCGACTGCAAAAATTCTGCATTGGCGACAGGAAGGGCATCTGGCCAGTAAACACTCAGCTCCATTCAGTTGCCCCGACTCCACCCTGCAACAGATTACGGGGTCATTAAACAATCAACATATTGTTGTGGTCCGCCAGCAGCCTGTGGAGACGGTAGCAGAATCGGACAGTGGGGAAGAACAGGGGCAAGTCCGGGTGTCTGGGGAGGACTCGGACGTTGGTTCTGCGTCCGATGCAGAGGTGGGGCTAGGACCATCTGGGAGTGGGGCGCTGACTCCGGAGTCTCCAGAATCTGTCAGCAGCGAGGCAGAGGAACCAGGGGAGCCTGTTCCCAGTGCATGTGTGCAGAAAGCTGCTAGAAGGCAAGAGCAGCTGAGACAAAAGGGGTGACTCAGGTGTAAGGCTTGGAGGTGATTGCCCCTCCTGTAAGATATAAAGGAAGTGCAAAGGGACAGGAACCTTTGCAGGAAGCAACGTTGTTTGCTCTGGTCGGTTTGGAACCCGAAAGCTCCGTGGTGAATTTGTGTTCCGTTGGGTTTTGAAAGACTAACTGGTACCTTAGTCATTGGCAGCACTTCAAGAAAGATAAAGGTGCATTCTTATCAGACTTCTCCCGAAGAACTTTGGCAGACTTCCATGGTTTAGCTTACTTTACTGTCATTCCACCTCGTACAACAAAATCAAACATGATCTTCAGTGCACATCATGACCATGAAAATAAACACAAACACACATCCTTCATGCTCCACACATTGAATTGAAAACCCCAACACCACATCAACACTGCACTATACAGTAGAATTCAACAGAGCTACTGCCCTGGGATAGAAGCTGTTTTTCAGCCTCTTTGTCCTTGTTTTTATTATCCTGTACTGTCTTCCAGATGGTAATAGTTCAAAAACAGGGTGCCCAGGATGAGATGGATCTTTGAAAATGTTTTGAACTTTCTTAAGGGACTATTTATAACTGGTTGAGACTCATTATGGGCTGTGAATGACAATAATTCACAGCCGTTGAACTAAAATAAAAGGGTTTTGGATTTAACTTGTGTTTGTTGGTGTCTCAGGAAGCCTTTGGTCAGAACACATATGAAATACGTAAACTATATGACTAAAATCAGACGGCACCCTGAAAAAGTGAGAGGGGCAGCTCCATTCACCACTGGCTTGCATAGCTTGGATCTACACATACCATTCTCCTTCCGTAGCCTGGAGATGAATTTTTTGGGAGGAATCACCCCAACTTTCTTCTTCTGTGTAGCAATGCTGTGGAAAAGATCTGCTAGGCAGGTCAAGAGGTTTTCTTTTTTTTTCTGCTGGGCCTTATACGCCAGCACATTCTCCCGAAATGGCCGACAAAAGAACAGAGCTTGCAGGACGGAGTTACAGTAACATGTGTTGCCAAACTGCAAATAAGCATACAGGTAAGGAAGGGATGGGAGAAAAAAAATGGCTAATGCAACATCTGATTATTAATCCATCTCGCTCTTTACCATCCTACCACTGCTAATCACTACTCAAGCAATCAATGATGAATGAAGATTACAGGTGTCTTAATTGCCATCTGATTTGGCATTAAATGGCAATTAAATTTGATCTGGCAATCAAATGGCAATTCAGTTGCTCTCCATTTTGAATCAAAGGGGTTCTTAATAAAGCAGCAAATGGCTTTGTCCTTTCAAGAATTTTACATTAAGTACAGTATCTCCATGGAGATTCTCAGTTATCCAGGTCATGGTTATCCCAAAGGTGCTTTTTTTCTTTTTCTTTTTTAAGTCGGTTTTTATTTATTTATATATTTATTTATTATAAGTATTTTGAATACAGTGTATTGTCCATTTTACAAAAAGAAAAGGGGAAAAATAACACGTATACTGATAGCAATAATAATAATATAACAAAATAATTCTAACTATATTTGGTGGTAGACTTTAGGAGAAACCCTCCCATACTATCACCTCTTACAATACTAGACAACACAGTATCAATAGTGGAGACCTTCAAATTTCTAGGTTCTACTATATCACAAGACCTAAAATGGACACCTAACATCAAAAACGTCATCAAAAAAGCACAACAAAGAATGTTCTTTCTGCGACAACTCAGAAACTCAAACTGACCAAAGAGCTGCTGATCCAGTTCTACAGAGGGATTATTCAGTCTGTCATCTGCACCTCTATAACTGTCTGGTTTGGTTCTGCAACCCAACACAGACTTCAGAGAGTAATTAGGACTGCAGAAAAAACAATTACTACCCACCTGCCTTCCATGGAGGACCTGTATACTGCAGGAGTCAAAAAGAGGGCTGTGAAAATATCTACAGACCCCTCACATCCGGGACATAAACTGTTTCAACTCCTTCCCTCAAAACGACGCTATAGGGCACTGCACACCAGAACAACTAGACACAAGGACAGTTTTTTCCTGAATGCCATCACTCTGCTAAACAAATAATTCCCTCAACGCTGTCCAACTATTTACAAAGTCTGCACTACTATTACTATTAACCTTCTCATTACTCCTTATCACCCATCCCCTCCCACTTGTGACTGTATGACTGTATGACTTTGTCGCTTGCATCCTTACGATTTATATTGACTGTTTCCTAGTATGATTTGATTGCTTATTGCCCTATGGCTATTATTAAGTGTTGTACCTTATGATTCTTGACGAATGTATCTTTTTTTTAATGTACACTGAGAACATTTGCACCAAGACAAATTCCTTATGTGTCTAATCACACTTGGCCAATAAAGAATTGTATCCTATCCTATCCTATTTCTAATTATATTCACTTATTTATGTTCCTATTAAATATATTGGCAGACATATAAATTATAAACTACATGCATATTTTACTTAAACATAACAATACTCTTTCTTCATCTAATTTCTACCTCTTATCTCTAACCATTGATAAAACCTATTCCACATTAAATAGTATTCTGTGTCTCCTTTATCTTTTATTTTCAATGTCAATCTATCCATCTCTGCACAGTCCAATATTTTACAAATTATATTTTCATCTGGTGGGGTGTTCTCATTTTCCCAATATTGTGCAAATACAATTCTCGCTGCTGTCAATACATGTAACATTAAGTATATAGTCCCTTTGTCATTATTTTCTGGTATTCTATCTAACAAAAATATTTCTGGTTTAAAATTTATGTGTTGCTTAATCATCTTCTCCAACCATGTATGTATTTTTGTCCAATATTTTCTTGCCTTCACACATGTCCACCACATATGATAATAAGTGTCCGGAGTCTGATTACATTTCCAAAGGTGCTTTTTTTTTTCTTTGAAGATGTTTCGCTTCTCATCCAAGAAGCTTCTTCAGCTCTCGCTGGATGGTGGGGAATGGAATTCCTTGTAGAGAGTTGTTGAGGCCACTTGGAGGTTTATCTGTGTCCCCAGAGTCACCTGAGTGGTGTAAAAAATATCCTTCCATTCCCCGCCATCCAGTCATAGCTGAAGAACCTTCTTGGATGAGAAGTGAGATGTCTTCAAAGAAAAACAAGAGAGTCCAGTTGCCTCTTGCAAAAAGCACCTTGGGGTTAAGTACAGCACATTCTTTGCAAGGACATGAGAATGCAGATTCTGTGCACAACTACATCCACTGTCTTAATTGCACCGATCCACATTTAGTCAAACCCCTTTACAACTTTGTAATAGATTCTTTAACTTGCAGGCTTCTCCCTCATATCTGCAAATACAATACTCTTTCAAATGTCAATGTTTCCCTGCCCAATTTCTTTCAGTTATGCTGGCTATTAACTCCTACGATCCTCAGCCGGCTTGGCTAAAGGCTACTAAGGAAGTGAAGGGCTGATATCTAAATATCTGCAGGGCACCAAGTTAGGGGAAGGCAGAACGGAGTGATAATACTTACGTTGACCAGTCCAAAGTAGTGTTCATTAAGTGGAAATTGCTCTGGCCCAATGTCTTTTTCCAGAGCGGAGGCATTGGTGCCCTGGGAGAAAAAAAAAGAAAAAGGCCGTTATTCTTCTACAAATTCAAATTCAAATAGGATCAGAGAGGGACAAATGAGTTCCAGAAAGGACAGTTTTTCTTGCTTCACCAAAACAGGCACCAAGCGTCGTTAATCTAATCCTGCGTAGCTGTTTCTCCGGTAATATCACAGTACTAACTAGAGCAGGGGTCGCCAACCTTTTGGACCTCAGGGACCACCAAACTCATAATTTTAGATCCCAGGGACCACTAACTGGTTCTGTGGGCGTGGCCTAATTTGTGGGTGTGGCTTGGTGGTCATGTGTCTGGCTGGGCATGGCTTGTATGTAAATATTATAAATATTTATATAAATATTGAAATTTTAATAAAAAAGAGCAACTTTTACCCAAAATCAGGCAGGCAGATTGAGTTGCTCACAGAATCACGGATTCAGTCAGAAATCTATCTATCTGCCATTGGCTAGCTCAGTCTCTCAGATTTGCTTGACGTGAGTCTGCACTGAATTTGCTTGCAAGCAAACCTTCAGTCCTAAGGGAGGTTCAGCTGTGCTTAGCTAGAAATCCAACCATTTCCTGCTTCCTAGTGATTCTAAATCTCCCGACACAGCAGAACAGATGATGGTTGGAAAAAGGAAAAATAGCAACTTAGCAGACAAGTTTGCCGGGTAAGGAGTGAGTGCGCGGGGAGGGTTCCCGCGAGCCATGTGGGCGGTGCAGCCTTGTGTTTCTGCCCAGCCTGGATTAATTGCTTTGGGGGGGAGGGTGCTCTGGGGTTGAGATTTCTCTGCGGCCCACCAAAATTTTCTCATGGCCCACCAGTGGGCGACCGCTGAACTAGAGCATACCAAACATTTGCTAGACCAATACTTGAATACAGCTCATCAGTCTGGAACCCGCATTACATATCTGATATTAATACAGTTGAGAAAGTCCAGAAATGTTTCACAAGAAGAATTCTCCACTTCTCTACTCGTTGTAGAATACCTTATGCCACCAGACTTGAAATTCTAAACCTAGAAAACATAGAACTACGCCGCCTTCAGTCCAATCTAAGTATAGTACATAAAATTTCTATTGCAATGTCCTACCTGTCAATGAATACTTCATCTTCAACCACAACAATACAAGAGCACACAATAGATACAAATTCAAGGTAAACCACACCAAACTTGATTGCAGGAAATACGACTTCAGCAACAGAGCGGTCAATGCCTGGTATACTCTACTTGACTGTGGTTTGTTCCCCCAAAACTTTTAACCTTAGACTTTCTACTATTGACCTCACCCCTTTCCTAAGAGGTCTGTAGGGGCCGTGCATAAGCACACCAATGTGCCTACCATTCCTGTCCCATTGTTTCTTTTTTTTCTTATTCGTATCCATTTCATGTATTCATAACCACGTTTATAGTTATACCTGTTATCTAATGAATCGCTTGACAAAATAAATAAATAAAATAAATAAACATTATGGTTCTCACAGGCAAGGCTTTAGAGAGCTGTGCAAATTCACACCCTCCCTCGACCCCATTGGAGTTGCAATGCACGTTGCTGCAAACATTATGGATGCTCTCATCCTTTTTGATGCCCCAAAAGATGATCTTCCAAAAACTCACGAAGGGGGCTTTTTATCCACATCATAACAATGTTATGATATAATCAAGGAGCCTCTGTGGTGCAGTGGTTAGAGTGCAGTACTGCAAGCTACTTCTGCAGCCAGCTGCCTACAGTTTGGCAGTTCAAACCCCACCAGGCTCAAGGTTGACTCAGCCTTCCATCCTTCTGAGGTGGGTAAAATGAGGACCCGAATTGCTGGGGGCAATAGGCTGATTCTGCAAACTGCTTAGAGAGGGCTGTAAAGCACTATAAAGTGGCATATAAGTCTAAGTGCCAGTGCCATAACCATAAAGCGCACAGGAATGCCAGCAGTTGTAAATCGGAAGGAGAGCACGAGATCTGTTCTTTCTGAAGAAAGAAACTGAAATAAATCGCTTAAGGAAGTTGGTTTATTTGCCTGCCCTCCCCAACCAAATCCATTAACCTGCCATCAATCATTTCCCAGAATAACACACCAAAATAAACACTCCCCCAGTTTTACTGATGCTATCCAGGTTTATTTAGTTTTGTAATCTTATCAAATTGTTTCCTGTCTACTATTTTAGTTTGTCTTAAGTTGCAAGGGAAGAGAAAGGGGAATGGGAGGGTTTTCACTCTTGCTTAGATTAAGAGAGAAACTCTGACTTTTTTTTCCCCCTCCCCAGTAAGAGAATGTTTTCAGAAGAGTTGAAGGGCAGAATGAGAGTGAAACCAGATAATTGCAGAAAGCGTTCAGGCTGCTTTAAAAAAAAATAAAACCAACTTGCCTGTAGGTGGGAGCTCATAATACAATGTCATGTGTCACTTTAAATTTCATTTTGCTGTCAGAAAGGATCTGTCAGATCTAGGCTACCCAAGCTTTTACATGTGTCATTCTTGCCAGCTCTATCCTGAATTGAAAAAAAAAAAAGAAAAGAAACAAATACATGTGCTAAACCCGGCCCATCCATAAGGGAAGGTAAAAAAATAAAAATTAAGCCGCTGACACATTAAAAACCCACTGGATGGAAGTTCAGTTGCAATGTTTTGGCCAGGATCTTGATTTTCTGCACCTGATGGGGCACCTATGCTTGTAGTAGTTCCAAGAAAAAAAGCCTTTACACAGCTTATCTTCAAACTATATAATCTTCATTCTGCTGAGTTCCCCTCCCAGCCACAGCTGCTAGAAGTCACACCTGGCCTCATATAGAAAGTAACGAAGAGGACCTTGATGGAGTGATGCCCAGTCCAAAGTGGGGAGTCAAGACATATTTTAAGTACGCACAAAAAAAGATGAGGGGCTGCCACAGAGAGGAGGAAGGGGTCAAGCTATTTTCTAAAGCAGGGGTCTCCAACCTTGGCAACTTTGCTGGCTGAGGAACTCTGGGAGTTGAAGTCCACAAGTCTTAAAGTTGCCAAGGTTGGAGACCCCTGTTCTAAAGCACCTGAAGGCCAGACAAGGAATAATGGATGGAAACTGAACAAGGAGAGATCCAACGTGGAAATAAGGAGAAACTTTTTGACAGTGAGAACAATCAACCAATGGAACGGAAGTTGCCTTCAGAAGTTGTGGGAGCTTCATCACTGGAAGCTTTCAAGAAGAAACTAGACTCCCATCGGTCAGAAATGGTGTAGGGTCTCCTGCTTGGGCAGGGGGTTGGACTAGATGATCTACAAGGTCCCTTCCAATTCTGATTATCTGTTATCTGTTAGATAGTATTTGGAATGGGCTCAGACAGCACCTCCCCAATTGGTTGAACTAGCATTAGAAGGAGGATGAGGTACAATACAATAAGACTTGCAAGATTCTGTTATTATCGCCACTCTCAGTAAAAGTAATTTTAGCCACTTGTGGGGTTGATTTTTGAGCCTGGTCTACTTCAATGAGCTGACAGCACACCAAAACAGCCCATTGTGGATATTCTTCGTAGGCTTGGCTTCATATAAGACTATCATAGTTGGGTTGCCATGTTCCACAACATGATCATTAATTGGCATGAATCAGAGAAATGAAGCAACAAATTATTTGTTGATTTTTTTTTTTTTAGTTCCGGCCCTGATTGTATTAATTCGAACAGTTTGTGCAAAAGGATCACACAAACTGATTTTAACAATGACATAACACAGTCGCCAAAATGATTCTATCTGTAAAAACAATAACTTTCCCATCAATGAAGGTTAAATTTAATTGATCGGAATGTCAGAGTTGAAAATGTAGTCAAGAATGAGCAGGTTAAAATATTGTGGGGTTTCCAAATACAAACCGATAACTTCTTCGTTTATTACACACCATATTTAACTATAGTTGAAAAGGAGAAAGTATGGATAATTTAATGCAGCCATACCAGGAGATAGTACAATAAAAGACTTGGGGTAGATCCCAAACTATCAAGATCTGAGAAATTGAAAGATTATGGCATAAACTGGCTGTGGTGATTCTAATGGTTATCAGCACTCTAGATGCCATACCAAAAATTCTTGGACAGCACTTAAAAATATCTGTGCATTGATAAAATTTCCATCTGTCAATTACAAAAGGCCAGGTCCGTGCATATATTATGCTAATACATTACAGCACCCTAGATTCTTGGGAAGATCTCAATGCCAATGAAGGCCAACACCAACTTAAAAACTGGCATATAGAAGTTTCTATTTTTGTATATAGTAATAATAAATCAACGATAACAACAACAACAAAAATTGACAAAGTTCTTGAAAATTAGCAAGTCAAGATCCTGTGGGGTTTTTGGATCCAAATACATAGACATCTGGCCCATAACACACCTGACATAAAATGCCCCGAAAAACGCCCTGAAAAGCACCGCCAAAAAACGGACAGGGGTGGAGCCAGCCAGTGGTGGGATTAGCCCCAACCGGCTGAATCGTACCTCTGCCTTTGAGGCGAGTGGTCAAGAGGCAGGGCTAGGTGCGATGAGTGATATCACCCACCCAGTCACATGACCAACCGGCCATACCTACCCAGCCAGAGAACCGGTTGTTATTTCAATCCTACCACTGGACTGCGCTACTCGGAACAACACACATTTTAAGAAGATACATGGTTGGTACCTAGGATGCTGGCAGCAACCAGTATCAACCATCAGAGCCACGGTCAATGATATTTGTGATACATTTTTAAATGTTCAGCTGACTGAGTTTCATGTTTAATGAATAAAAGTTTATAATAATAACCATCATAATCATCATAATAAATAACAATAATAATCTAAAAACAGCAGCTAATGAAGTCAGGCTAACTGCCATTGTTAGACATTTCTGCTGCATTTATTACAATGATCCACCTTCAAAAGAACCACAGTTCATTTCTATGGCATAATTGCTGTCATTGCTTTGTGGTGATTTTGACCTGGAGGAAATATAATCATCAACTGTGGACAATATTTAATGGATCCAATTATACCGTCCAAA